AAGATAAGAACTGGAATTCAGAAGAAGACAGACCTAGTTCACATCTCTATACTATCATTTACTTGTTAGCTGTGTGACTGTAGATTACTAGTCTTGTTTACACTCAGTGTCCTCATCTCTTTAACATAGCTTTAATATATATATATATTATAAAGACATAGATATTTTTATAATCAGGTATATATCTATTTTCCTGAGGATGATAATGGAGTTTCTAAGATCATTCAGAGCCACCTAACTCCCTCTCAGGAACTAAACTCTGGTGCTGAAAGAAAACATGGCATCATTCATGGCATCCTGTCATGAAATGGTGTCTCCAGGATCCATCCTTATCCACTTTAGAGCCTGCTCACCCAGTCATTCAGCTTCTAGTTGTACCTCGTAGCCTCAGGTCCTCTTTGGAGCTCTCTGCCCAGCCACCTTGGGACTTGTTTTTCCTGATGCTTCCTTTACTCCTGGTTGGAGCTGAGCAAAAATTTCTTCACAGCTACCCATGCTGGCCACACCATTCCCAAGTCCAAGCCAGATGTCTGAAACAGTAGTTCTGATCTTAGTCTCAGACCTCACATTGCCAAGAAATGAGTTTAGATAATTAATCCCAGAGTACCTCATTTTATGTTATCCTGTGTGACCTTATCCCAAGGGCCACAGCTGAAATAAGATGTTGTTGGAGGAGGTCATGGAGAGGATGTGATCACTGGTTGACCTGTGAGCTGGACCCAAGGAATCAGAGGATCCTCACCCCTCCCCTGTCCTTGGAATGTACATTCTGCCCACCAATCCCACAGTTTGAACTGTTCCAAACACATAGCCTTGAGAGATCAATGTGGTGTTGAGACCACCTGGATGGCATACATGACTGAACCCAGTTAAGGCCTCTGTATAAACTTTTAAGATTCTGGAGGGCAGAAGTGGAGATCTGCTCATTGTGTGGCTGCCCAAGTTCATTACACCTGCCACCTACCAATCTGGAGTGGTCTGCCTCTTTCTTCCATCTCTCCCTACCCTCTGTGGGGTTTCTGAACCAACATACACTTAACAACAAAGGAACAAATATCCATCTGTTGTGATGAACCCATACACTGTAGTAGACATTTTCTGCTCAGTATTTAGGATGAAACACTTGTTTCTCATTGGCATCAAGCTGCCATTCCACTCTTCCCTATTGACAGCCCACATTGACCAGAGCCCTAACTCACCACTGAGCTGTATGGACAAAAACCTATTTTTAAAGATAGTTTCCACTGCAGTGAATAGAACTATGATTTTGGTTTATAACCCAGCCTGCATTTTCACTGTCAGATGGCTTTTTTGTCTAATTTACCTTCTCCCACTATTCAACCTCACCTTTGGTTTAATGCTTTCCTTAGGCTTTTTGCCACACTTTGTCTATGGGTCATGTTCCAGTAGCCCACCTAACTGTGATCCCACCATTTGTTGGCTTCTGATTCCAGCTCTTGCTGTCAGAGGGTAGCTTCTCCCAGAAAGTTCAGCTGTTTGCTTACCAGTCAAGAGATTTCAGACTGAACCTATTCTTGGGGAAAGAGTTTATGAGCCAGACTTTAATTTTGGTGATATTTGCAAATTGTTTTTTAATAAGTCACCATACTTGACAATATTTTGCAATAGTCACATATGTATACAGTACCCTTCTAGAGAAGGAAACAAAAAAAAACTGCAAGAGAAAAGGTTATAGGTATGTAATCTAAATTAAAAACAATCAATAGCAAAATGCTCATGTTTATTTCATAAAAATTTACTCAGGATCTACACTGGAGAAAATATGTGATAAAGAAGCAAGGCATCAAATAAGGGACAATAATTAATGATCAGTCTAGTAGAGGGATAAAACACAGATACAAACAACTACAAGATTAGATAGAAAATTCTAAGAGTTTTAAAAGAAGCACACTTAAGATTCTAGTGAGGCTTAGGATGTGACTTACCATGTATAATTGAAGGGGGTATCAAAAAAATCATATAGGAGTTAAAATTTGAGGAGGTTTTTTTTGGAGAGAGTATAATTAAGCAAGTAAGCTACAATGCACACATATTTACATGGAAATAAAATTAATTGAGAAATGGTCTCAGTAAATTGCATTTATTTTCTTTCACAAAAAGAGGTTTGTGATATTTTAATGGCTTATCCAATATTGAAAATAATTGCAGTAAAATTTAGGATGGGAGAGAAAAGGGGTAAGAATATGGAATATAGAACATTATGCAAAGGGTAAATCTACTCCTGAAATATATATTAAAAATGTCAACTTTAAAATAATAAAGAGATAGACATAATATAAGTAATGTGACAGGACCTG